GGCGTTAAATTTAGATGAAAGTGTTCCATAATTTAGAGAACGGCGACGGATTCATTCTACTCTTGTCAGGGATAATATTTGGTTACCTGGAATGCATTTATCAGTTCAAAGAATTCGTTCGCAGACGTTTTTATAAGGAACGTTAAAGAAAACGATCTCATTTTAATGGAATCCAATTCTAATCGTTCCAAGAAAGAATGATAGAAAACTCATTTCAGTAGGTTTTAGAACGGGCTATAACGCTTTCTGATCAGTCGAAGAACGATTTTTGAATCGAGAAGAAAGCGTTCTATAATAATATGGAACGGCAAAGAATGCGTTCCACTAAATAATAAATCTTTTTTTGCCATTAATGAATGCTTTCGTTAAACTGCAGAAAGCGTTTTCCTAATGCAGGACCAGTTTCCATGTTTTTACGAATGCGTTTTCTGCCGTTTTTTTTCATGGTCATTTTTCACTGGGTAGTACTACCAAGCTTATTTTAGGCATGACATAATGATATATTTTTATTATATGATTTTTTTCGTCATGAAACCGACATGTATGTCTAAATTGCACTATTTTCTAATAGGCTGGACGATAAAATGATTGAAAAGACTTATGTATTTGTTTCGAACAAGGGATACCAAAAAGTTGTTTCACACAATGCTCATTACAAACGGGTTCGGAACATTTGTAACACTTGTTCAGAGTCTTTCTATCTCTGACATGGTCACAAAGTGAGCATCGTTTTCTTTTTAAGTCCTCGGAGATTTCATTCAATTTTTGTGATATTTTGAAGGTGTGAGTGTGAGTGTGGGTGTGAGTATAGTTGAAAAAGATTCACGCCCACACTCACACCTTCAAGATTCCACTTATATTCAATTGTATAAGTAATAATTGATTGAAATACAGAATAGTAATCCAACTAGTTTTATATTTTCGCCAGCTAATTATACTCTTCCTAATCCATGATGAGATAATATTATATTAAGTACTCGTTACTGACATAGTAGGGAGAGGGAGGGAAGCAAGACGAGATGAAGTTCTTATCGGTGTTCTGTTTGAAATTTTTGGTCATAAAAAATGCTACATACTATTTGAATCTGAAAAATACTACAATATTTTTATTAAATTTCAATTTTTTCATAGTGCGGTCATTTTTGACCCCGCTTGGTAGTACTAGGATTAAATTAACTCATCCTCGGCGAAGTCATGAGATCGGAGTAGATAAAAATCCTGTACAAGATTCAGGATGAGAGTGGATATGTGAGGTGTATTCATACATCTTTATCACACATCTACACCCACATCTTCCTATTGCTCTTTTGAAAATGTTTTTATAAATAATCGAAATATTCAAAATAGAATTCCTATCTTATTAAATGATTACATACTATTTGAATATGATGTAGTTGTTGTTAAAGGAACTAATTGTGTACTATCCATTGAAGTAACTATAAAAAACAAATATAAACTATTAGTAGAAAAATAAGTCAATAAGAAATTTATTTGAAAATACCAGTAGCCATAGTTGTTACCGTTGTCGTTTCATCTATAAATAGAAATACAATTTTTTATTATAAAATAAATTTGTGGGAAATATCTGGAGTTTAAACTAGAATTAAAGGTGTCATATTTCCGTTTCTCAGTGTTCTGTGCGTTTTTGAACATGTTGATATCTAGATATATCTTTTCTTCGATTTAAAAAAAAATTTACTATATTTTTTTAAGACACGAAACTAACGGTTCCACAGAAATATACTAAAGCACTCAAAGCAAGGAGCATTACACCTTTGTGCTTCTAATTATAATCATATATTCCTAATGATGGATCGTTTTACATATGAGAGAATTAGTTTTAACTTACTGCATGAATTTGGTAGCAAAAGAAATTTTTGCACTCTGCTATTGAATTGATCGGCGACAAATATATTTCCATAGGTGTCAAAACTGATGACATGTGGATTGTATAATTGGCTAGATGATGAACCATATGATCCAGAACATGCTGCTATACATCGAAACCCATTAGGTCCTGAGCCAATAAGGCGCTGATTTATCATATCAGTAATAAAGATATATCCATCAGCATCAAGTATAACTGAAGTTGGACCAGCCAATATAATAGCTCCTGTTCCTATTGTTGTTCCATTTAATTGTCCTGATGCAAATTTTTGAATTCGATTATTTGAATAATCAGCCACATATAAGTTTAAATTATTATCAACAAAGATTGCCCATGGATTATTAAGTGTAACCGATGTTGATCCAGCTGTACCTGTACCTGCGACAATATTCCATACATTTAAACGTGTATCTAATGACTTCGAGACAACTTGATGATACGCACCCATTACGCAGTAAAGCATATTATTGCTATCGACAAAGAGACCGTAGCATTGTCCACACGTATACATTGCTGGAACACTACTTGTTGAATTCCATCCCCATTTATCAACTCGATAATTTGCGTTGCCATTGTCGACATAAACATCACCATTGTCCGTAACGAAAACGCTATAAGGCAGGGATAAGCCACCCGAGTAACTGCCTGTAAGTGTGGTACTTCCGTTAAGCCACACTTGAATTATCCCATTCGAATAACTAGCGACATAAACGCTGTTATTTGTATTGACAAACATGCCTAAAAGATATGTACCAACTACAGTGCTGTTCGCGAACGTTATTGCTGTGGAATTCCACGATGCATTTGCACAAAGTTTAGGTTGATTGTAGGAGATGCCTAAATGAAATAAGAAAACTATGACTAGAATTTGAACGATAAAGATTATTATAAACTCAAATGAAGCATTTAGTATTTTCGTTCTCGATATTACTCAAACATAAAATTCTATAGAAATTGTTTTTTTGAAACTTTGATATTGATTTCTGAGACTACTACTTCAAGCCCTAATCTATCAAAATATTCAGGGATACAATGTAAATCTTGAAAATGTAGTTATCACATTGAGTTTAGCTATAGACAGAAAAGTTCACTGTGGCCTCAATCATTTCTCACATTCTTATAGATCGAATAAATGTGATGCTGTATCGGTGAGATTTATATACAAAAAAAGATTGAAGCTCCATAATTTTACTCTCTTTAAAACAATTTTTGAAAAGTGTATTAAATACGTACCTGATATTGGTCCAATCAACAGCAACCACAACCAAATATGAAAAATGTCAAATAATATCATATATATATATATTATCTAAAATATAATTTATTGTCATATTAAATAGGTAGTGACATCTGATGAGAAAATTACACGGATATAAACTACGACATCATTACGATCTTAGCGGTATTTTTATTTACGAACGCCTCTGTGAAATACAATTACATATGATGTATGGGATGTTTATAAAATCGCTTAGAAAGCACTTTTTTCTAGAAAAAAATCGTATGCAACGCAATTGATTGTAATAAAGTAATCTGGCACGAATTTTCTGCTGTCGGACTGCTAATCTAGAGATTTATGAGCGATTCTATCATCTAAATTCCGATGAAACTATTATCCTGCGTACGCTTCGACCATCATAGATAATTAATAATTATGATGACTTGTTTTTATTTTTATACCATTTACAATTCTTTATTCTTCAATAAAAAAAACATTAGAAACGTTCTTTTTCAAGTATTTCGGATATATATATATTTTCTAATATATACAGAAATTGAATTTATCTTGTTCGTAACTGATTTTCATTATGAAATTAACTATATGTTATAATAAAATACGATTGTGGAGAGGTTTGTTTGTTGAGTGTTACCATCGTTAATATCGCTTTGGCTATTCGGAGAACGACAAAAAATTTTACTTGTTAGAAATTATTTTTTCTTTGTTGTTTATGTGATGGGAAACATCTAGGAAGTAGAAGTTAATATTTTAAAAATATTAATTTTTACATGATTACATTTTTTTTCTTTTATGTTTATCTCATCGCTAGAAATTCAAACTGAAAGATATGATCATATAACTGGGAGAAAAGGCATGCAGGTGAATCTAATATCATATTCCTACAAAAAACTATCCCAAACGTTTAACACAGATCTCCGAACAAATATGCAAAGATTTTACTCGAATGCGGTGTTAACTTCACCTACGTAGATAGTGCACTAGAATAACTATATTAATAGGGTATGGTGAACCAATTAATTATTGGCTTGTGATATAAATAAAACTCGTTGATGGATAATACAAAAAATTAATTAAGATTAAGTCTACGTCAACTTCGAATATATGGATCTTCTCGAATTTATCTGCTATTTACAGTAAAAATAATTTATTTAGAATACCAAAGCAACGTTAAACAGGAATGGTTATAGTAATGATATTATTAATATACCTCCTTTTACTTTCCTTCGATTTTTTTAAATTAGATATCACATCTATTCAAATCATTTTTACTGAATATTTTCTCCAAATGCTCGAAAAATTACATAATGATTAGATTTCATCTTACCTTTATTGTATGAACGTTTTTATTCATACGTCTCTACGTTATATTATTATAAGGGAATGTGCATCTCTTCATTTTCTCAACTAACAATATAATGAAATTATTTTTAGTTAAAAGTACAATTGTTTTCATCCTTTTTTCTCTATCAAACGTGAAAAAAAACGCAATAGCTGCACTTGAAAAAAAAAAGAAAAGTACATTCAATTTTTAATAATATAAGAAGAAAAAATTTTACTCATTACCTTTGGTTAAAGTAATTTTCATAATATAAAATACACTTATTCAAACAAATTGTTTTTTTTTATAATATCATATAAAAGTTAAAAAAAAAATACTTTTTTTCTATTCAATTTTTATCTCTTGACAAAATCTTTTCGTAACTTAAATCATCTATTAACTTGTATTCTTTGAAGAGAACAACTATACTCAAGGCTATTTCACTAGTGAGGTAATTATAAAATATTTTCACTATTAATATATCAAGAATGAAGTTTATATACGTGAGTGAAGTGTACTCCTGTTAATATTTAAAAAAGTACATCAAGAGTCTTTTCAAAAGTAAATAGTTTTTTATATTTTGCACCACACAAATGTTCACTGTTAACAATGTATTAAGAGAAACAGTATCAGAGTTTATCTAAGGTTTTGAAGAATCATAATTTTTTTAGTAAAATCAAAAATATTTACTATTAAAAATGAAGGACAATACATCATTTCTCGATTATTAAAATCTTTACAATGGAAGCTTAGCATCACGCGTCGTTTTACATACTTAATCTCATTGAAATAAGATCATGATTATAATTTATATATTCACAAAAAAAACCGTTTAATTTGAGTTTGTAAAAAACTTATCACTTCAAACACTGTTTTAAGTTAGGGGATAGATTATAATAACTTATTAATATTCTTGAGGATTTCCGAGAAATACTGTTATTCAACATCATACCATTATGTCGATGATGCTTGTATTTTTTTTATCTCATCGCTCTCATGTCATAAGTTAATTCAAAATAATGATCAATAGAATTATTCTATATCGATATTGTTCCAAGGTAACACCAGTCATAATATTGAAACACATTATAGCACGATTCACAGATATAATAAAAAGATTCTCTTTTGCTACTCGAAATAGTGTAATAATTTGTTGTGCACTTATAATTAAGTTAAACGTCTTTGCGCAAGAAAAGAAAAGAGAAAAGAAATGTCTTAATGTAAATAATTTTTCTTTGTTTAACAGAAGCAAAAGAAAAAGAATCAAGTAAAATATGTTTACAATTGTTATTATTTCTGTGATATATCGTTAATCGATATGTCTTCCTTATAGACAGATTATTACCAAATTTTCACACTTTTCGAATGGATATACTGATAAAAATTATGCTTATCAGAAGATGTGAACAGTATCTTATAATAGCAACATGTAAAATCTGTTTTTGAGCATTTCATTTCTGTAAACGATTGAATTTTTCTGACTTTCGTAGAAGAATATTCGTGGTGTCATGACGATTAAGTAAGTAATAGTCACTTCTGTTTTTTTCTTCGTTTGTTCGATGCTATTTGTACATGATTTGTCAACTAAAAGATACATATTATCTTGATTTCTCTCATGCATTAAATAAGAGAACGAATGATCCTTCGATTATTTCGAATTTACTATTTTTTAATACTTTATTCAATATTATTCGTTATGATAAGAATAAAAAAGAACCAGCCAAAATCCAGTTATACTAATCATCGTACGATAATTGTTTATACCTTTTTGTTATGTTTAACAATATCTGAAATATTTATGAAATATAATAATGGAATACTTGGATTTAGTTTTTGCGTTTAATCCTACTAAAATCTTGTGAAGTACTATGTATTTCTTGTTATTTTCGTTTTGACATGCTGTGAACTAAAACCTACTACGAAAACAAGTTCATGTCAAAATGTTATGTTAGTATAGCTTCAGTTGTACAGAGTCTGAATCATTGATTGTATCTAACTGTTTGTTGAATGACCACACTTCGTACAAGTCACATGTCTTTCCACAGAACTTTTGAATTTGTTTGAAAATCATCGAATAATATCTTGAGAGTGGGTGTGGGCCTTGTATTCTTTGCTCGCCTATATCTACACTCCACACCCACACCCTGGATGATTTATCGGTCTTTGTAAACGAATTGTACGTGATAATGTATATAGTTATTACCATTTTCTTTCATCGAATTTTTTTGTTGAATATCTGGATAATGACATTATTACTCTATATACTAAAAATAGACGAATCAGTTGCTTTCGTTTTGGATGTAAGTGTATGTGCTTTCTGCTCTTGTTATTAGTATCATCATTTATTTACTACAATCTTTTATGACATGCATATAGTTATATTCATATCCATTTTTTCGAGTTTATTCAGTTTGGATTCCGTCAAATGCAGTCAACTGCTTTGTAATTTAACGCATACTTCTTTTATTTGTCCTGTTTCTCTGCTTCTCTCAAGATCTTATCATTCTAAATAAACAGATATGTCATAAAAACTCATAAATTCGTTCATGTATTAACTCATTTAACTTTCTCGTTGAATGTCACTGACAGGTAATTTTTCTATTGAATACGGTATAAAGTTTGACGTTATTATCATTTCACTTGCAGACACATTCCACGTAAATTTATAATCTTCAAATATTATATACAAAGCCATTCATTAGTTAATACGAGTGAAATAACTATGACATCTCTTACACTAGCATTTATACAAAATCAACTCAATTATTATGGATTTATAATTGTGTTGATTTTCGGTGTTTTCGGCAATGTTTGTATTGTTATTCTGTTTAGCAAGCGCCGTCAAAATTCTTGTTCACTTTATCTTTTATGTGGAGCAGTAATGAACAGTGCCAATCTCATATACAATCTACCAATTAATATCTATAGTGTTTATAATTGGAATTTACCACTCCGCTTTTTGGTTTTTTGCAAATTACGTTTCTATATATCTCACGCATGGAGTCAATCAGCTAAATGCTTCATCATACTTGCATGTATAGATCGTTTCATTCTGACGAGTAACGGTGCTCATTTTCGTATTTTTAATCGGCCATTGATGCAACGATGTATCATAGGAGGTGTGCTCAGTTTCTGGCATATTTTTTGTATTCAGTTATTAATCATGGCAATGATTGTTAATGGAACCTGTGGTTTATTCGGTCTATATAGTATTGTATACTTTGCTTATTATGTGATTGTTATTTCAATAATTCTACCAACCATAATGGGTGTTTATGGTACTCTGGCCTTTCGTAACATGAGACGCCTTCATACACGCGTTCGACCGATGGGTAACTCGAATAACGAATGTCCCGTTGTCGATAGAATTCATCGTGCAGATCGACACTTGCTTATTATGACAGTTAGTGAAGCCGTTGTCTGTGTAGTATCAACATCAATTTATCCAATCGTTTATATGGAAACTGCATTGACTGGATTTATTGGTATTAACAAGAGTCCTGAACGAATTCAAATTGAAAACTTCATGTTAAATGTCGGATCATTTCTCCTTTACTTCAATAATGCCGCTCCTTTTTACACATATTTGTTAGTGTCAAGTGCTTTTCGACAGCATATCAAGCAATATATGATGAAACTGGCATCTCCTTTCACTGGACGACCTGTTACAACTATGCAAATTACAATACCACAGGTGCAATCGCATAGGCATTAAAAGCGCTACAAGATGTAAGAGAGAGCATTGTGTTGATATATTCATCTTGAGTCATTGCAACATGCATTCTTTTTTCTGTTGTCTTTTTCAATTTCATTATATAGCAAAAATTATTAATCTTTTCTTCTTGAATCATCTGAAATAATAGCTTTTTATTATGAATTTTCTTTTTCAGTATTGTGATAGTGTATGTCTATGTGTGATGTAATTGCATGTTGTTACAATAAAATTTTTATAAAAAGAGACAGAAAGTCTGTTGATATAAATCTTGAGGGTGTGGGTGTGTAAGGTAAATATGACAATCACACTCTGGGATACTAAACGATTGGATGTACCTGTTGCGGTGCTTGATAGATATTTGCATGCTGTTGAAGGATCAAATGGACAATCTCTGCTTAATACAGATTAATTCTCTTGATTGTGCTGTTTATAATGAATTCAAGGAAATGTGGAATATGTTTTCAAATGAAATGAATTAAATTATCTTCGTTATTTTTTTTAAATAGATTGGCTTAGCTGTTGTTGACAATAATCTAATGGCTGTTGGTGGATTTGACGTATGTTATTAGTTCTATCAAATACAGATGTACATATCGCAGTTAATTGGTTCAATTAGTAGTTAATCCAACTAACTTCGATGTGTCAGTAATGAAATTTTTTTTGATATGGAGACTGAGGGAGTTATATTTCCATTGAGATTGGCGTTACCCTCTATTACCTAAGGAATTTGAGATCATTGTTTCGTGTTCTATGTAATTACCTTTTAGAATTTCAAAAGGCCCGTTCGAAAGAGAAAACTTGAAGAAAACAATAGTAAACAGTTATCTTAATATGATAAATGGGCATGTATCAAATAAGATTAGTCCTTCAATTTTTAAATTAGTTCTTTAGTGTGTTAAGATCTTCTGCAGTTGATGTAAACTAAAAATTCTTTCTTTCAATTTATTTCTACTCCCGTGTATTAAATGACTAAAGTCGAAGCCAAACTGAAACGTGCAGGTGTGATATATTTACTCACATCACGGCATTTGTCTCTTGATGCAATCTGTTGTTTGTCGTCAAGAAAGAACGTAAAATTTTGTTGCATCTTACCTTACGTATGTAATCAAAGAACAGAAAGAAAGAGAAAAAGATTTCATGACGTCGTACACATAAGACATACTTCCATTATTCGAAACGAATATTTCATATGATGCCAGCCCTAGTTTAAGTATTATGAAGAGAAAGTCACGAATAGTTTTCATTTTAATCAAGGATTTTCTTAGATGTCTTGGAAGATCTATTTTCTCCAAATAGAAGAGGCTGCCTTCAAATCTGAATAAGCTAAATAGCTTGAATTATGCAAGACTACTTGTTTGTCGGTTACTACAACAATAAGTCTCTCCAATCATATAAGAATCGAAAAAAACGTGTAATAATGCGTTAAAATTTTACCGAAAATAAAATCGTAAAAGGATGTGGGTGTGAATATAAGAGGAGTACAGCACCCACATCCACACCTATGCCACATCGACATTTATCCACTGTCAAAATAACATGACTACATTAAACAGATTCGATAAAAATGAATTTAAAATCATTTCAGAATTACTGAGGCAACTTTTAAGTCTTATATTTTAAATCTACAGCAAACTCTGCTTTCGGATTTTTCACATATCGAAAACATCAACATTCCGTCCGACAATATTGGTTACTTTGAAGTAAAGAATTTCTTTTAATGATATGATAAATGATTGTATAGTAAATGAATAATTATTAGGACGAAACACACTCACAATAAAAAGGACAGTAAGAACAAAGGCAAGAAAATAAGCAAAACAAGTATCAGAATTATTAAGATTATAATAACTAACGCCATTATGATAAATATCGGCATCACGAACTCCGCGAGTATTCATATCGTCATTATTATTAACGGGAGCATTGTCACGAGCATCATGTTGATGTAGGTCATCAAGCTGAGAAACGTCATGAGAATTAACACGCGAATCAGGAAGTTCATTTTGGGCCGAAAAAGTTAAAGCATTTGACGCTAATGACATCATAAGTGTCACGTCGTGTAGTGTGAGTGCCTAATGATATTTTATTGTAAAATATACTACTCCACACACGTCTATATATATCATGGAATATGCGTAGGAGAAGAAATATATACTAACACCATCTATACAAAGAAAAAGAAAGAACTAAAACAAAACAAATCGTTTTTCTTGTTGTTGTTGATATTATTGATTGTTTTTTTCCGTTCCCTATTCATTAAATAATACTCTTAAAAAAGTATCAAAGCCGGACATTATATCTTATTGAATTCAATTATGGATGAATATTGTTTTCATATGTTAACTCTTCCTGCGTATCTTATTCTTGAAGAATCCATGTAATATTCAATTTCACCTTAAACTTTTTGTTATTTGAAAAACAAAAATATTTCAAATACTTCTATGATTCTTTAAATATATCGATGACTAATTATGTATGTCTTTTCGTATTTGTAATTTTTAGAAATCAACGACGTGTATTTGTCAATTAGCAATTCTTTCGCGGTTACAAAGGATGAAACATATAGGCATTGTTGATATCACGACAGTTGGAGCATGTTTATGTGCAAATGAAATCGTTGCACAAGCAGCAAAACTTAACTCATCAAAAAAACATCCAGAATTTACAATGCATGCATTTTCTTATGATGAATATTACAATTACATTCAGGGAAAAGACTGAATTGGTTTGGCTAAGAAAATATGCGAATCAATTAAATTACTTGAAAAAGTCGGCGCTGATTTTATAATTATTCCATCGAATACTCCTCATTTTGCCATAGATATTATTAAAAAGAATTCACCATTGAAAGTTATTAATTTAATTGAAATTGTCGCTGATGAATGTCACAGAAAAGGTTTCTCTAAAGTCTTAGTTCTTGGAATAAAACTTACAATGCAAGGAGGATTATATAATGATATTCTTCGTTCGAAGAATATAACTTCAATTATTCCTACAGATAATATTTGTGACAAAATCGAAGATTTAATAAAAAATGAAATAATTCCATCACAAATAAATTCAACAACAGTAGAAGATATTCAAAAGGATATACAAAAATATGATTGTGATGCGATTATTCTTGGATGTACAGAATTACCTATTGTATATAATGAAGATAATCTTGGAAAACCCGTTGTTGATACAACTCGTTTACTTGCTCACTATGCTTTACAACTCGCAACTGAAGAAAATTCTTCATCGAAATAAACATAAACATTTATATTATGACTAGAATGTACGACGTAACTACTTGTTACATGTGATTGGAAAATATATCATGCTTGATGTAATATTTTCTTTTACCTATTGGCAAATTAGTTCATATTGATATTAAAAGTATCCATTGAATTTAACTGATTTTGGACTTAATTTTCTTAGAAATTAAATTTTGAATTTAGAGATAATTATTGTTAAAAAAGATCAATGTTGACAGATACCTACGAGACAACATAGTTTGTATCATCATTACTTGAGAGTGTGGGTGTGCTACGGATGTAATACTCATATCCACAGCCACACACCCACCCTTTTCTTTGAAGTTATGAAACAGAAAATGTTTTCAGATTGCCGTTGACGAGCTTATTTACTTTTGTACAAAAACTAATGTGTCATTCTCAAACTGATTCAAAATAAAACATATAATAACACGCAATCGACTATAGCGTGCAGTTTGTTTTCTTATGTAAACAACTTAGTTCAGTATAAGTCCTTTTTAATTATTATTGATCGGCTTACATTAGTGCTGTTTTATTATTTTCTCCTCTTTAAAATAGTCAATGATGACGAGAGAAAAAAATTTTCTCTTCATCTTATTTCGTTCTGTAGAACAATCGTAGCAGCTGTTAGTTTACTCTAGTTTAAAATGGCTTGGAAACTTACATTGAATAATTTGATGGTGGAAGAATTGCATACATGGATCGATAGTCTCTTATTGTCAAAACCAACAACACGATTCGAACGAGATTTTGCTGATGGTAACGTAAAAATATCTCTATTCACTTGATGCAATATTTTTCTTTTAAGGTACCTTGGTCGCCGAAGTTATTCGATATTATTTTCCCGATCTAATCGATATACATAATTATATATCAAGCAGTGCATCCAAGCAGAAAAAAGACAATTGGTTTACATTGAAAAGGAAAGTTTTCACTCGTCTTGGGTTTGATGTTCCAGAAGCTATTATTACTGATATTTGCAATGCAAAGCTAGGCTCTGTGGATATATTTCTATATAATTTAAGAACAAAGATCGATAAACAACTGGAATCACGAACAAATATTCAAAAACGTCATTTAGCTTCTACAGAACAAACATTGTTCCCTTTGACTGCTGTCAATCAGAAACATAAAGGTGAACCACGTTTTTCAACTCGATCAAATGTAACTAGCAAATCAAATAATAATCTCAACAACAAATGGGTCCATCAATCAGATTTCAATGAACTAAAACAACAATGTCTTCGACAGCAACAGCAACTTGGATTACTCCTGACAAAAACACATTCACTAGAACACTTTGTTCAACTCGTTGATAAGCGTATTAATGAGTTTTCCCCTGCCATCGTCGACAAGCGACATACTAAACACAGTGATATTCTTGCTAAAAAACAGCAAAAAAAATAAAGAATTTACATCTATGAGGGATATATTTATTTTTATTTTGATAAATAAGAGGAGAGGGATAAAACTATTATAAGTTCATTTTAATCATTTGCTTCTATATTACGAAATAAATAACTCATTGATTCTTGATTATGTATACGACGTATAGCTTCAGATAAAAGTAAACTTATATCAACTGTTTTAATTTTTGAACATTGAAGTTTAGCAAATTCATGTGGAACAGTATTTGTAATAACAACTTCAGATATACAAGATTGTTCAATTAATATTGGAGCATCACATGTAAATAGAGCGTGTGTAGCAATTGCATATATTTTATATGCACCACGATCAAAGAGTATATCAGCAGCTTGTACAAGACCAGGTACATCATCAATCATATCTTCAAATATAATAGCAATTCGACCATTAACATCACCAACAACATCCATAGGTAATCTACCTTTGATCATAACTTCTATAATTAAAAAAAATATTTTTCTTTTATGAAAACTAACAGCTATAAATACGTACGTTGCCCTAAAGCAAGCGATGGAATCGTATATACACTTCGTCGTTCAGACATTGGTACAATAGGAATATCTAAACCAGATGACATTGGTGGTGGTGAATTTCTTCCATCCGCTTCTTCACTTTCACTTTCTCGATCTTGACAACCATGTATAACAGCAATATTTAATTTTAATCTTTCAGCAAAACCTGTTACACGTTTAGCTTGATTAGGTTTACGTGCTACTATAACAGCATTACGCCAATCTGGAATCTAACATAAAAAATAAAATAAAATCTTCCGAATTTCATTATCTTACTTGTTCTTGAATATAATCGACGAGAAACGATGATGCTCGTAAATTATCGACTGGAATATCAAAAAAACCTTGAATTTCTTTTTGATGTAAATCAACAGTTATTAAATGTGTTAAGCCTGCTTTAACTAACATTTTTGCAACAAGTTTCATAGTAATACATCCACGTTTTTTCTGTTTACTTTGTTTACTATCTAAATTTATTAATTTTACTTTTGATTAATTTTGTTCGGATTAACTTACAAGGTAAATAAGGCAAAACACCCTAAAATAAAAAATGTTATAATAATACATATATTTTTTCTTTCTAAACATACAATAATCTTTCTTGCACATGATGTTTTACATGCATAGCTCATAATCATAAGTTCCATGAGATTGTCATTTGGATCTCTAAATAAGAATAATATTTAATTGATTCATTAATTTCATTAACATCTATTTTACTTGGTTGAACCAGTTTGAATGATAAATACATCTTTACTACGAACTGACTCATGAATTTCTACATGAGTTTCTATAAAGAATTATATAATTATAATTATACATATTATTTATTTATTTATTTAACCTTTATCCGAATTTTTATAAACACGGCATTCACCAAGTGGTCTAATTCCACTAAAAGAAGAGAATTTAGCAACAACAAATAAAGCACAAATATATCACTAGACATTTAAAAAAAAACTAAGTAATACATACCTTCTAGCATCTGTTTTATGCGAATAAACAATTCTATAACGAGAAGAAGAAAGCCGAATACATCACACATCCACACACATATATATTAGATTTTTTTCTATAAAACAAAATTAGTTTAGTAAAATTGTGAAAATCAAACTTGATTATATTTAAATGAAAGTTAATATCATATGAAAACTTAAGTAGAAACTATAACTTACCTTGAAATATTTTCAGCCAATTCCGGATAAGAATTGCCAGTAAGAATTACTGAAAATTAAACAAAAAGTTATATGATATGTAATAGACAATTTCTATTCTAAAAACAACTAAATGATATATTCCCAAAAATTCTATAATAAGCTAAGCAAACCAATCAGTAAATTTTCATTAGAAACTAAGGTAAGTCATTATACCGTTATTTATTTTTCATATACCAAAAGTATAATAACTTTAAATAGAACAAAAAAACATCCATTTATCTATTATACAATCATATTTGTATAACCTACCCATTTCACCACGACCTGTTCGATCGGCCGACATATCTGAAGAATAAAATAAACAAATGAGTATATACATATTATATTATAATTGTTCGGTTTAACAGTGAATTCCTGAGACAAAAAAAAAAAAAAAGTAAACTATCTGTGCTTGACTATCATAAAAATAAAAAGCTGTAAACAATATATAAAAGCTTTATGGTCCTCGAAATTCTTCTTTCAAAACCCAAAAACCCATGCCAGAGGGTGCACGTTGAAGATCTGCTATTTCTTTTAATAGAGATTTAAATTTTGGTACAAGACCAGGTTTTCCATTAAGACGAGTTTGAAAATGATCAATTATTTCCGCTGTTGTTGCTTTACCATGCATTGATCCACCAGCTGATAAATAATCTTTTAAATCACGAATTAATATTAAACCATCATCATCATTTGACTTATGTTCATCTTCATGATTTTCTGTTGTTTCAGCATTTGTATGCACAACAAATTCAGTTTGTTGTCGTTTTCGTTCACGAATATTTTGAAGTAAATTAGTCGATGCATTTGATGGACGAGTATTTACTTTTCGAGTAACTGAAGAAGTAGATGATGATGATGGTTGTTCTTCTTCTACTTCATCAGGAACAACAACATCTTTATTAGAACGAGAACCAAATCGACGTATACTAAATATAACATTGAATTATTTCGAAATGTTTCCCTAAAAAAAACTTACTGTTGAATATTTTTCGCTCCCCAATTTGGTATACCACTTTCAGCTGAATAACACTCTTGTGCTGATCTTTTAAGTGCTTTAACAGCTTCTTCAGCATAACGATGAGCTTCAGCTTCAATAAAAACATAATCATTTATGGAATTATCAATAATTGCATCATGTTGAAGTGCACTATGTACACCAGATTTTTTAAATAATTTACTTAATACATAATCATCTTTTTCTTTTTCAATATCAACTTGTACATCTTGTTGATTCGTTGTAGTTTTACTATCAACTTTTGTTAAATTTGGTACACGTTGTCCTTCAAATTCTATATAAATTAAAAACAGAGAAGAAAATATTACTTTTTTCAATATCAATATCTTACTAGCACTTTTATTTCGTTTTCTTTTTTTATAATTTTCTTTTAAATTTATTTCCGAATTTGTTCCAGCTAATAATATTGATGTTTCCGTACGTTCATCATCTTCACCACCACTATCATTATCATCATCATAACGAAATAATTCATGAAGATCATTCGATTTAAAAAAACGTCGTTGTTTTGGATCTTGTAAAACACGATTTGTTAAAAATTGTTTAAAAATTTGTCGATGATAAATTTTTTCTTCGATTGTACCTGATGTTAATAAACGATAGATTGTAACATTTTTTGTTTGACCGATACGCCAAGCTCGTTCACGTGCTTGCATATCAGTTGATGGATTCCAATCGGGATCAAAGATTAAAACACGATTTGCACCAGTTAAATTTATTCCCAAACCACCAACTCGAGTTGTTAAAAGAAAGACAAATATTGATGAATCAGTATTATATTGAGTAACAAGTCCTTGTCTTGATGCAATCGATGTTGTTCCATCCATTTTTAAATATACATAATTATGTTTAATTAAAAATCCTTCCAATATATTTAACATTTGTTTACTTTGTGTAAATAATAAACATCGATTATTTTGTCTATACCAAATTTTTAATAAATTTTCTAATACAACCATTTTTCCTGATCGTTTTAAATATCCATATTGTCCAACTTCATTTGGATCTTCTCCATATTCCGGACGATAACTTGTCCAATCAGTAAATAGATCAGGATGATTACAAATCTTTCGTAAATTAATTAAACCAACAAAAACTTGTAAACTTCCTTGAAGAATATCTTTACATTGTTGTGATTTTAAATATTCTTTATAGATATTTCGTTGAACTTTAGTTAAACGACAAAAAAGTACTTGTTCATTTTTTGTTGGTAATTTTAAAACAACATTTTGTTCTGATTTTATTCGACGAATAAGATATTTTTTTATTGTATCACGTAATATACATGCACATTTATAGGCTGTTTGTACTTCAATTGGAGTTGCATTTGCATAACCACCGCGTGTTATTGGTATAGCAAAATGTTCCATAAATGTTGGTAATGTACCTAATTTTCCTGGAAAAACAAAATCAAATAGAGACCATAATTCACGTAGATTATTTTGCATCGGTGAACCCGATAATATTATTCGATGTGGTGTACGAAACTAAAAACGTGATATGTATATTTTTTGTTTCATATTGAAAAACTTTCTTACTGATTTACAAGCTGATGTTATTTGAGCATCTGGATTACGAATTTTATGACCTTCATCTAAGATGAAATAATGCCATTGATATGATGAAAGAGTATCGTAATGAATAAGAATATTAGCATAAGATGTAATAAGAATACCAGCAGCTGTGGTTCCAATTTTTTGAATGAGTCGATTCTATAAAGAACAAGTTTGAATGATTGAATTAGATAATTAAATTCTTACGCCTTTCTTTCCTTGAAAAGAACCACTTTCATGTAAAACAGCAACACGAAATTCTGGCCACCATTCATGAAATTCATGAACCCATTGATGAAGTAATGTTGATGGACATACGATTAATACAGGACCGAGACCACGAAAACTAGAAATCAAAAAACATAGATTTTAAATAATAAATAAAAATTTTTACCGATGTTGATTATCTCGTACACGACTATAATGAAATGCTGCCAGATAAGCAATTATTTGAATAGTCTAAAGATAATTTCCAAATCGATAAAAACAGAATTTCTTCTTATTTAATTTTACCTTTCCAAGACCCATTTCATCTGCAATAATTCCTCCACATTTTTGTTCATATAATTCCCATAACCATTTAACACCAGCTCGTTGATAACTTGAAATAACAAAATTTTATAAAGAATAAAGAACGAAAAATATATATTTACTTAAATAATCTATTCCAAATAGTTAATGGCATCCAAAAACCTGGGCTCATTTCAACATCTTCATTTTCACTATTATTTATATGACAAGGTGGTTTTTGATCAGCATAGAAATCTCGTAAACGTGTAAAATATTGTTTATCATCACCATCATCTTTAGCTAATATACGTTTTCTCTTTTTCTTTGGCTCGTATGAATCATCATTTTCATCAATTAAACGTCGTTTTTCTTCTTCATCACTTTCAAACCTATGAAGATAAATAATAGATATATATGTTTGTTTTTATACGTATTTATGAAATTTTACCAAGCTTCATCTTCATCATAAACCATTTTACTTGGGTCAGTTTCTTTTTCTTCATCTTCAGATGATGAAGAACTTAGAACCGGTCGTTTCTGTGGTTTTGCTTTGGTTTTGACTTTTTTAACAGGTGGTGGTGGTGGTGCTGGTTTCTTTTTAATTTTTTTATCTCGATATTCAATTGGACCATCAAGTGTTAATGAAACTTGTGGAGGTGGAGGAGCAGTAGTAGTTTTTTTGCTTTCCGATGATTTTCTTTCAATAGGCTTATTTTTTAATTGCTTTCGTTTATCATAATCTTGATCGAGACCTTGCATAAATGAATCAAATGATGTTAAACGTTCATTTTGATCTGTTGTTGGTTTAATAAGACCATTTTCATCATAATTACGAAGTGTTGGCATTAATGTATCAAGAAGACTAGTAGATGCTGTTGTTCCTAGATTAAATAGTGAAGTTCTTGTTTCAAAGAGTTAAACTCATTCTATCTCCTTTACAAACATACGTTTAGATTGATTATCATCATCTTCATCACCCATTGGTGAAAGACCAATAAGTTCAGTTTTAAGTGAATTAACTTTGGCAATATTTTTTGCTAATTGTTGTTTCTAAATATAGGAAAAAAATATTTTTCATAAGATTCCTTTCTATTCTTTTGAACGTACTAGTTCTTTAATTGTTTTTTCAATATTAGCTTTTTGAGTTTCTCTTCTTGAAGCAAGATAAGTGGCTTTATCAATTGTCGATAATATTTGTTGTTTTGCAGATATATTACTTCGAAGAGAACTATTAGTTTGTTCAAGTGATTGAATTTGTTTTTCAATATGAGCTGTTTTATGTTGACGTTCATGGCTTGACACGACATTATCAACTTGATCGATAAGACCTATTTTAAAATCAGAGAAATATATGAGAAAAATTGGATAGAGACAAAAGAATTAACCTTGTTCAAGATCTGCTTGATTAAAAATAGTTAAACCAAGTTGATTTAATTCATCATCTTCATCAACTAATGTTGCTGTTTGAATTTTTTTACGATCGAGTTTAAATTTTTCGGGAATATGATTCTCATCTTCATCAGCAATAGTCGATGGATTGGAATCAGTATTTGTTTCATTCATTGTATGAAACAGATACTAAAAAGAATGAAATATGTGTTTTCAATACGAATTCTCAGAAAGGAAATAAACTATAAAATGGCATGTCATTTCTTCATTCATTTCACTTTACTATATATTATTAGAGACTGTTCATAACCAATGATCGTTAATGTCGCTAGTTGCCAGAGATTTTCTAATAATATTTTTGACTGAGTATTTTATATCATGTCAATAATGAATTGTTCTTTAGTTTGATTTGAATTAAGGAAAAATCATCGATAGATCATGTCAGTGAATACAATTCAATCTATTTTCTGCCACAAACAAGGATTATGGATTTCAGATATATTTCTTATAGATTAATTTCGAATATGTCGGTGTTAATAATTATGACAGTAGATAAAGATAGAAGAATTTTTTGTTTCTTAAACGACTGACTATTAAATTCGAAAGAGAAAAGTAAGACAATCATTTCTTTTTAGTCTATTCAATTGTCTTCTACTACTGACATGTGTTTAGATAATCGCTCTTTGTCAGCTGTTATTTTCTTTTATTATCCTGGCTGCCGAAGCATTGTTTTATTCTTTCTCTCTCTCCGTCTATTATCGTTATGTTTACATTTTCATGATCATATAAATGTGAACATTATTTCTTCATTATCATATATTTGTAAAAGTTACATCGATAGAATTCATCCATGTTTTCTCTACGAATTATATTACTTGGTCTTTTCATCTCGACTTTCTACTTATCATCTGACGCAAAAAAACACACGCGAACATCTGGCAAAACATTACACAGTCAAGAACCTGTTGTTCAACTTAAAAATGCTGTACATGGAAAAGTATTTATGCCTGTTATGGGATTAGGTACTAAAGGAGCTGGTCTATTAGATGGTACGGGTGGTGAATATTGGGGAAATGAACAAGGTCACAATGCCACTCTTGCATGGCTAAAAGCAGGTGGTAGACGCATTGACTCTTCCAGCGACTACATAACACAAGATGGTGTTGCTACAGGGTGGATAGCCAGTGGAGTACCTCGCTCTAAGATATTCATTACATCCAAGATAATGTCAATTGGTTACGATGAAGCCTTAAAAACTTTTGATGATATTCTTGCATCTTTAAAAACTGATTATATTGATCTTCTTCTTATACATTGGCCTGGCGATAAACCAGGTACTGTAACTAAACCAGTTCCTGCTTGTAAAAAGGATAAATCAACATGGACTGATTGTCGTGTACAAACATGGAAAGCATTAGAACATTTATTCAAACAAAAAAAGGTACGAGTATTTGAATGTATAAATGAAAACTGATATTTCTATTATAGGTTCATGCTATTGGTGTAAGCAATTTCGGAGTCAATCATTTATTAGAAATTTTCAATTTAAATTCTTTAATACCTAGTGTCAATCAAGTATGTTTACATTTCGTTTAGTGCAAGTTACGATAACATTTCTATTATTAGGTTGAATTTCATCCTTATTGGCATGAAGATGAACTTCTTGATTTTTGTCAAAAGAATAATATTACATTTAATAGTTATGCTCCACTTGCTTCTGCTGATCATGCAACATTCTTAGGAACTTCATGGAATCCTATTCCTGATTTACGTCAACACCCTGATGTTATTCGAATTGCAGAGAAATATCACAAATCATCAGTGCAAATCTTACTTCGTTGGCAATGGCAACAAGGCATCGTCATGAATCCTCGTACACTTAATCCTGCTCATATGATAGAAAATTTGTCTATATTTGATTTTAAATTGAGTAAACAAGATATGATGATTCTTTCTTATATTAATCATCCAATGAGCAAGATGTTTCCTGATCCACGATTAATTCTCTAAAATGTAAATTGAAATATCGTACGTCATTATTAGCACGACGAATAGATGTTCATTTTTTTCATTTTTGTGTATAATTATTAAAATCTACTAGTTCAATAAATTTCTTTCATCTAATATACTATTCCAAATTCTATAAATTGATGAAGTCTAAAGATTTATATCGATTCGATGGAAATCATCGCTGAATAACAGATATATAAAAATGTGAAATTGAACAACAGAATACATAGCCACTTTTTGCTTCTTCTAGATGTTATATACATTTAGTGCCATCTATTCACCATCACACATATTGGTCATTTTCTTCACTCGTTGAATGTTTATAGATAATCATATGAGCATCTTTTTTGCTTATAATATATTCATTCAATAAACTGGGATATGAAGTATGGAAAAAAAGTATTAGAATTTTTATACTTCATTGATAATAGAAGAAAATCTTATCGACCAAAAATTAATCGAAATGAATAAAAAATTATATATGTATTAATAGGTTAGAAAAAGTGATTAAAAATTTAATCAATTAAAATTTCTTTTATATATAGATAATGAAAAATAATCATCTATGATTGCTCAACTTGATAGTTTACAAAGATTAAAAGAAGTATTTTAAATATATAATGTTTTTTTTCTAATAAAATAAATTCTTTTTTTTTTCGTTTCATTTAGGTTGGTTGGTATTGGGGTCCATTAAGTTGGATTGATGCTGAACGATTATTGAACGATAAACAAGATTATTCTTTTGTTGTTCGAGATAGTCATCATCATCATTATTTTCTTGCAATTACATTTAAATCACAAGGCAATATTCATCATACAAGAATTGAACATAGTAATAGTTAGTTTTCATAGATTTCTTGTTTTTCGCATCAAAAATAAACTATAAATTCTACTTTTATGATTATAGATTCATTTGGTTTTTCTCATAGTAATACAAAATCAGAGTGTACATCATCTGATGTAGTCGAATTTATTGATAATATTATTGAACATTCTAAATCGGGTCAATTTATGTTTTTTATTCGATCAAATATACCTGGTATGTATTCATTGAACAATTCAAAACTAAATCTTCTTTTTGTTTTTTTTTTTCAAAAGGTCAACCAATGATACCTGTACGTTTATTACATCCAGTATCGCGTCACACTTATATGACATCATTAAAACATATTACCCGGTTTGCTATTCATAGACAGATACGTCGAGATCGTATTGATGATCTTGATCTACCATTACGATTAAAAATATTTCTTAAACAATCACAAATCTATACTGAATATTTGCCATCTTCAAATACCTAATAAACATCTATTTTTTTATTGTTATATTGTGCCTTCAATAAATTCTTTTTTTTCTTACCTGTTAATATGTACGTTTTCTTGATACTAATAAATAAATATTATTGCCAATCATTTTTTTTTCGTATGAATCATATGACAAATATTGCACAACGCAACGCACATCATTATGACAAACGTCGTTTGTAACACGTTGTTGGAGGATAAAATACAACGAGAAAAGTAAATTTTCACATTCCTTTTTTTAACGGTGTGAAAAAACATGGTAGTCACTTTTGTAACGGGTAACAAAAATAAATTAGCAGAAGTTCAAGCTATATTAGCCGATGTATTACCTAATTTAAAATCACAAGATCTCGATTGTAAGTATAATATATATATATATGAAATGAAATAAATAATGATTTAATTCTTTATTATTAAATAGTACCAGAATATCAAGGTGAAGCGGAAGAAATTTCTAGAGAAAAAGCTAAATTAGCTGCTCAAAGTGTCAATGGTCCTGTTTTAATTGAAGATACATCTCTTTGTTTTAATGCTTTACATGGTCTTCCAGGACCATATATTAAATGGTTTCTAGATAAAATAGGTCATGATGGTTTAAATAAATTACTTGTTGGTTTTGATGATAAAACAGCGTATGCACAATGTGTATTTGCATTTTGTGCTGGACCAACAAGTGAACCAATTGTATTTGATGGTCGATGTAATGGACGAATCGTTCCAGCACGTGGACCTAATGCATTTGGATGGGATCCAATATTTCAACCAGATAATGATCAAGGACAAGCAGGAAATCAAACATTTGCTGAAATGGATAAAATTGAAAAGAATAGAATTAGTCATCGAAGTCGATCACTTCAATTAGTTAAAGATTATTTTGCTCAACATCCAGAATATCATACAAAATAATATATAACTTTCTTTTTCACGAACAAATCGTTCTTTTTTTTTTGATAAAATTAATAAATAAAGTTTATATTACTCAATCATAGAATATTTCGAATAGAATTATATTAAGCCACTTTAATTTTAAGAGTACAAAATTTCATCATGTGAAAGATAACAGATGTTCGTCTATCCTATTTAAAATTAATAAAAAAAAGAAACAGACATGATTTATAAACTAGCATGCTATATTTTGTCGTACCGTTTATTTTTATTCAATTCGGGTTATTATATTCATCATGTATTCCTTCAGTAGAACAATGTGGATGTCCACATGAATCACCTATATTGTTTACATCAAAAATTGTTGGAGGTTATTCAGCACAAAAACATTCTTGGCCATGGATTGGTAAGTGTACATATATAAATTCAATCGTTTTTATTTTTGAATTATATTAGTAAGTATTCGTTATGCGGGTGCACATCAATCATTAACCAATCCTGGTGATGCTATTTGTGCTGGAACATTAATTCATGAAAAATATGTTTTAACAGCTGCACATTGTGCTTATGATATGATGGATGGTTCATTGATTTCAAATTATTTTATTGTAGTCGGTGCTCATTATATTAATGATACAAATCCAATTCGTTTTAAAATCAAATCTGTAAGATTACATAAACAATATGATGATGATTTATATTCCTATGATATTGCACTATTAGAACTTTCACATAAAGTTGATTTAACTAATTCAAATGTTAGACTTATTTGTTTACCATCAACAAATAATTCTTTATATCCATATGAACAAATGAATAGTATTGTAATTGGTTGGGGACGTTTAATTGAAAATGGTCCTACATCATATGAACTTCAACAAGTTCAATTACCGATTATATCAAATAGAAATGAATTTTGTATGAAACAAATAAGTGATGAATTTATACAATTCTGTGCAGGATTTATTGAAGGTCAGAAGGATGCATGTCAAGGTGATAGGTATTAGAAAAAAGGATTGAAATAGACGTTTGAATTCTTTTTTTTTTTGATTTATTTTAGTGGAGGACCATTGATGATTTATGATACTGATACGAGTACATGGCATATTGCTGGAGTAACTTCTTACGGACATGGATGTGCTAGAGAAGGAAATCCAGGTGTATATACACGAGTTAGTGTACTTATTGATTGGATTAATACACATATAAATTCATCAAATAAACGACTGTCTATTAATGTTGTACTATTTTTATTATGTATATTTGTGTTTTTTTTGTAAAGCATTGTTCAGATTGAGTTGCTATTAATAGTTTAGAAGAAAAAAGCTTTCAAAAAGTTCACAAAGTTTTTCTTATACGATTTTTATTAATATTAATAAAGATGTATTAGGCAAAAATAGGATATAATTCCATTTGAGACAGTTATATGTATCGCTTAAGCATTTAATGGTGGAAGACGAAAAAAACCAGGTTATAAAGTTGCATCAGCTGGACGACCTTGCAAAATATTGAAAGGCATACCAGTAGGAAAATTCAACCAATGTCCTAAGCCACTTATTTCTTCAATAGGATTGCCATTTAACGGTCGAAATCCTTGTGGCTATTTATTGCGAGTATTCGAATTAATTAGTGCCGAAAATACAACAACGAGTAAAGCAGTCTGAAATAAAGATGAAGAAAATATAAGAAATATAATAATAACTAAGAATATAATTTATATAGGCTGATTTTTTGTAGAGAATCATATCTGACTTTATGCCCTACGATTAAATGACGTACTTTTTCGAACTACATGCATGACTTCTTATGAAAAGTGTTAAATAATCATTCGTAGTTTATGTAAATTAGAAAATAATGTATCGATGAAATAATTATACGTAAGAATATATGAATTTTTATTTTACTTTTAAAAGAATAGTACATCGCTTGATCACATGTTTAATTTAGCACAAAAATAGATCAACTCGATAAAATTTTATTACATCATTCTGTCTAATCAAGACAAAGTTTATTTAATAGAATATATTGACTTTTCTTTTTTTTCGTTGAATTCTATTTTTTTTTTCTTTTCTTATAGTATCATATTGAATTCGGTGAACACAATGAACAAGGATGGAGGAAGTCGGACATATAAACAGTTGTTGCACGTTACTTGCATACGGTCAACATTTAACGTTATTCATTATTAGAATAACGTAATCGGGTCCTCCATTTACAACAAAAAACGATGACGACGAACGAGAAATCTGAAGAAAAAGAAGGCGTCTTTTTTTTCTCTTCTCTTTCTGTCATAATGTTAAAGAACAGGACAAAAGTAAAAGAAATAATTATAACTTGAAATAGATTCTTACTTCTCTCTCTCACTTTCGAGAGGTTTTTTTTTACTTTAAAAGTAATATGTCACCATAAAAAATATGTCAGCCGACAAATATAGTTGGTTGATGTATAAAAAAAAACGAAAAATTTAAAATCAAATCATGTTCAATAATTTATTACTACAATTTATTATTTTTGATTTTATAATTATTAATTCGGATAGTAAATCTCAATCAAGACAATATCAAAATATTTTTAATAATCCACAATTTTATTATCAACAACAACAGCAACAACAACAACAACAACAATTATCAGTCGATGGTCAAAAATGGTTTTATTCATCAAATCAACAACCAATAGCTTATTCATGGTATTGGACAAATAATGATGTACCATCATCGAATTTTTATAAAAATTCTCTATCATTACAACAAACTAATCAATTAGCAAATTGGGCATGTGGAAGAAGTCAAGTAACAAATCGATTTGCACGTATTATGGGTGGACAAGATGCTGTACCTCATTCATATCCATGGATGGTTTCATTAGCTAAACGATCTTTAAATAATTTGCATTTATGTGGTGGTGTTCTTTTAACAAGACGTCATGTTTTAACTGCTGCACATTGTATGGAAGATTTTAAAGGTGTTTCAGATATGAATATATTAGCTGGTATTCATTATATTACTGAGAAAAAACATTCTATACCAGCATTAACAATTGATATACATCCTCAATATGATGCAGAAACATTTGCTAATGATGTAGCAATAGTAACATTAACAACACCATTACCTGAAAACGATCCACGTATTGGAACAATTTGTTTACCAACTGATGAACTTACAGGTAAAAGTTATCCATCGGAAAAATCTTCTGGAATAGCAATTGGTTGGGGTTCAACAAAATTTGGTGGTCAACCATCGACAGCATTAAAACAAGTTATTCTACCTATTCTTGAAACAACAAAATGGCCATGCAATATTTACGTAACTTATGCTCAGGGACAAATATGTGCAGGTGAACTTAGTGGTGGTTCTGACACATGTCAAGCAGATTCAGGTTAAATTCAAAGGAATTTTTAATTTAACCTTGATCGTTTCTTTTCATATCTTAGGTGGACCATTAATGGTAGAAAATTCAGATGGTCGGTGGGAAATAATAGGTATTACATCATTTGGTAAATCATGGTAAGATTCTAACATTTCAAAAAAATAATTTATTATATTTTTTTTTTTCTAGTGGTAAACCAAATTCACCTGGAATTTATACACGTGTAGATACTTATAATAGTTTTATTCGATCAAGCATAAGCCTCTCAAGAAATGCTCCTTATTATTCTTCTTCTTCCTCTTCTCCGACTTCTCGAATTTATGCATATAATATTCTTTTCAATATTTTATTGATAGTATCATTCTTAATGTGAAATATAATGTTCGTTTTCTTTTTTTTGTACTATGCTGTTTTTTTTTATTATTTGTATACTCGTTCAAATAGACGAAGGTCTTGATCTATATACTATTCGCATTTTCTTTTTCATCATCACATAGATATGTTAGATCGATTGTATATACTTCTTTTATTGACAAAGAAACCATACAACAGTACACTATCATCAAGAGAACGGCGCGAAACTTTCAGGGTCTTTATATACTTTATATTTATATTTATATTTGATGCAAATATGAAAATGGGATGGAGTCAAGTGGAAAGTGCAAAAAAAGAAAGCATAATATATATAATATTGAGTAGGCATCCAAACAGTAATTAACATATGAAAAAAAAACATAAAATAGAAAGAAGTATTGTGAAAAAAAAGTACTTTATAATTGAATTCACGCTTCAGATCGATATTACTTTTCCATTATGAATGACATACAGATCTTCGTAAATAAAGAATTCCAGTAGAACAAAAATTTCTAATTTGCTTTCATTTGAAAGATATTAGACTTGTTATATTTGTATTATGCATCCTTCTATCGAATGCTGAAGTCATAAAGTGAAGAATCTGGTAAATTAATGTATACTTTTTTAAAATAAGAAATAGCAAATACTCAAAGTATTATTAAGTGATCATAAAAAAATTTTCGACTTAATCAAATTTTGTATTTTTTTCTTTTTTTTATAATTCCTACTTGAAGAAATGAATCATGATTTGCTTGTAAATTTCAATGAGAATGCATTTCGACAATTCGATATAAATATTAATAAAAATAAACTTGTTTTTTTTTGAAAATGATCAAAATATTATTTAACCTATACTTCAATTCAAATAACTCGTGATAACTATTCAGTTTGTTATGGTCAAAGGACGTTTAGAAATTTCTTAAGTAATAAATGAAGTATAAAGTGTTCAAAAATAACATGATTAAATACTTCAAATTTATCATTATAGAAGAGAAGTTCATTGTATAAATGCGGAGTTTTTTTTTAATTAGATATTCAATGTTTTGATTTTTATATTTTATACTGATAGTTAAAATTATACTCGAACTTTTGAATGAAATTGAAGTTTTAAGATTCTGAAAGAAACTTTTTATTTTGGAATATTTTTCTATTCACTTCTTTCTATCGAATGGTTTTAATCATGAATATCATGATGTAAGTGAGGTTTGTTGGTTGCAAAAGATATCGAATCTTGCTGCAGTTGAATTCGACTCTAAATCAAACTATTACAAATAAAATATATTTGTACCTCTATAATTAAATTTGTCATCTTGATATAATCGATGGCTTTTTTTGTGTCAGATTATAGAATTAAAGCTAGAGAACTGAATTTTCCATAGGCGGGCCACCAGAGGGCAATTGTCATACTAAAAAAATAAATATATATTTTATTTAAAAGCTGAACGACGACTGTAACAAACTAAGATAACGATCAGAAGATGAATGTATTAGACGCAACTAAATTCATTTTGGAAAACAATTTCCACGTAGTATTGACATTTATGAATGAATTCCATAAATTTTTTTTGGATTGTGCCAGTGAATTTGTATGAATGTGAACGACGTTTCTCGTCGTTTAGAAGATTAAAAACTTATCTAAGAAATAGTATGGGATAGGAAAAATTATTAGGCGTTACCCTTTTGAATGTTGAAAAAGATTTCAAAATTAATATTTTTTTTATTTACTTCATACCAATAGAAGAAAAAACTAAACTAATAAATTATATTAGAAGCGAGACAGCTTCGTTTGTAGCATGAATGTAGATAATGGTTACGTAGTATTTTCAGAACTTTAATATCTTGAGATAGCCGGAAATGACTGAAATTAGTCCGAACAGCCTTAGAATTGTTGAATATTGTCCAGAATATTGTGGGATACAATAGAATGATGATATGAGTGAAAGGTTAATTTATCACCTGCACCCATCTGTTCTTCAGGAAAAGCATGGCTCTACATTTAGAATTTAAGTTTTATTCCAAAAATAAGAGACAAACAATGTCCTAAAGGTCATAAGATGTCTTTAGTAGAACCATACATGAGTTTCACATTTTTAGCACCCATGGAACTCCGCTGACAATCTTTTTTCGTTTAAATTATTTTATCTATGTTGGAAATATTGATCTTTACTCAAAAAACTCGATTTTAATTTGCTGTAATTTTCTCATTAATTCAATAATCTCAGCCATGATAGTTTTTTGTGACACTGTCTTCAATTAATAATAGGACTCGAAAGTTAAGCCAAAACAATGAATGTAGTTGTCACAGGTGACTTTGAAGAAAATGTTATTTATTGTTATGAAATCGTCTAAATAAATTAAATAGTTTTGTATATGTCGAATTCTATTCGATTATGATATAGAATTTCATTTAGATATAGAGACTTTAATATTGTTTATTGAATTAAGCAAAAAAAAGAAATATTAAAATAAGCAAGATAATTATGCAGAAAAGTGAATCAAAAAAAAAGCTATGCGTGTATAAATCAATTGCAATATGAACTATTTGTTATAATATGTCCTTTTTCTACAAAGCTTGAAGCTAAATTTCAATAAGATAAAATGTCATGATTAATATGAAGTTTGTCTGTAATATTTCAGAGTTTCATAAATTTTTGCACACGATAATTAAATGAATCACCAATATACATATTCATTGCTGAATCAAATGCGATACCTCGTGGATCATTAAATTGTGTTGCACCACTACCTACAGAACCGTTTCCAGCAATTGTAATTCCTATATTACTATTAGCACAGAACAATTGAATTCTATTGTTACCACTATCAACGACATACATATTCATATAACTATCAAGTTTAATTCCATTCGGACCATTTAAGTGAGTTGAATCAGAACCTGATACACCTGGCACACCAGCAACGAAACTGCCTGATAAAGCACCAGGAGTCCAACGTATAACTGAATGTCCACTAGTATTCACTATAAATAGATCATTACTTATAGACGGTAAATGAATACCCCATGGAAGGTTTAATGATGCATTCGTATTGTTAGCTCCAATTCCACCATCTATAAGAACTCCATTAGTACCTGAAGTGGAAGTTGTTGAATAACGCATAACTCGACTATTTCCATAATCAGCAATATAAATATATGTTTCCGTTGAATCGAAAGTAAGATATCGTGGAAGATTTAATTGATTTAATGCAGATCCGGCTGATCCAGTACCGGCAATAGTTACTCCAATGTTTGATCCACTATTAAATTTTTGTACTCGATGATTGTTACAGTCAGTTACATATATATTCCCAGATCTATCAATGTAAACATCATTAGGAAAATTTAATTGAGTACTATTCGATCCTGCTGATCCAGAAGTTCCAGCCGCAATTGTTGGATTTACAGCATTTTTCAATAGTCTCCATATAACATAATGAGTGGTCTCATCCGTAGCATATAAAGTATCGTTCAAGTCAACAAATACACCAGATGCTGGTACTAGTGACGATGATGAACCAATTACCGTAATACCCGTTTTATTCCAAAGTAAATTACCAGATATACCTAATAATTAACAAACAAAATCATCATTAATTATTCAGTATTTTTGTTTATAACGTTAGTATCAATATTCATATTACTTTCTTTTCATGATAATGTTTGTAATAGTAAATATATAAAATGACATCCTTGTAATCTTACAACATATTATTCTGTCTTTATAAGATATCAATCCAGTCTCTATATGTATGAACATTGTTCTGTTCTCTTTTTACGATGATTATCATTGATCAGAGAAAGAATACACAGCACATATATAAGTGTTAGAACAGAGACAGTTATAGAGTAAATATAGGAGAGAAGAGAGAAACATACATTTTACTTTGATGTATTTTATATTAAATAGTGTGTAAAAGAATATTAGTTATGAAATAAACATCAATTCAATACTTAATGGAACGAAATAAAAATCTATTCTTTCAAAATCGATATGACATCAAATAAATATAAAACAAATATAAAGATCTTCCTAAAAGCTACTGCACTAAATATTAGAATTTCAGTTATTTTCGAAATATTTCTAAAAAATAAATATTTTGAGGAAACTAAGGTATAATTGACTTGAATATCTCTTTACTTACATGGATTTGTTGTTGTTGTAGTTGTAGTTGTTGTCGAAGTGCTTGACGTAGTAGTTTTACTAGTTGTTGTACTTGAACTTGTACTGCTTGTAGTAGTCGAGGTCGTACTAGTTGAAGTAGTAGTACTTGTAGTACTCGAGGTAGTACTAGTTGAGGTAGTAGTACTTGTAGTAGTCGACGTGGTACTAGTTGAGGTAGTAGTACTTGTAGTACTCGAGGTAGTACTAGTTGAAGTAGTAGTACTTGTAGTAGTCGACGTGGTACTAATTGAGGTAGTAGTACTCGTTGAGGTAGTAGTACTCGAAGTAGTACTAGTCGAGGTAGTTGTACTTGTAGTACTCGAGGTAGTACTGGTTTCACTAGTTGTAGTAGTTGACGTAGTCGTACTTGTGGTACTCGAAACAGTCGTAGTTGTTGTACTTGAACTAGTACTGCTTGTAGTAGTCGACGTAGTACTAGTTGTAGTACTAGTTTCACTAGTTGTAGTAGTTGAAGTAGTAGCACTTGTAGTACTCGAAGTAGTTGTGATTGTTGTAGTAGTTATAATAATTGAAGTAGTTGTTTCTCGATTTGTAGTTATTGTATCACCAGTATTTCTACTAGTTGTGGTAATTCTGCTTGTCATTGTGGATTCTTTGCTATATAAGTAAATGATAATATTAGAAAAAATAGAAAACAACAATATAATTTAGATCATTGTCATATAAACTTGTTTATATTGTACTATTCTAATAATTTATTTATTCAATAACTAATAAGTAACAACTATTGATATGAAAAGAAAAGAATTTATTCATGTAAAGATTAGTAATGACGAACATCAAAGATTGATAAAGAAATATAATGAAACATTCTTAGTAGATTTCGTTAACACTGAAAAATATAGATCAAATATAATTGGATTTTTCTAAAAGTTAAAGATTTGATACTATAGTAATTATATGAAGAAATTCTTTTCTAAAGTTTAAATTTTTCGTATTTCGATAATCTATTCTTGATAATAAGAAATATCTTAGCGATAGTTAAAAACTACATAGTAAAACAATCATTATAATGAAATAAGACAAATGTTAAATTAGATTTTTGTAATATTATTACATTTCTAAATATCATTATAAAATAAATTAGAAGAAATTGAATAAAAAAATGTAATTTTTTTTTATATTTATTGTATATAAATAATGAAGATCTATGCGATTAAACACAAACAAGAGATAACATTGTTCATAACTTATTTTCTGACTGTTTATTATAACTTTTATATTCTCTAATTGTAACTTTACTTGTAAACATTCAAACTAACGTCATATTATGTGCTAGTAATAGTGTATGAATAAAAATGGACAGAACTAATTAAATCAATTTCTTCAAAGAAGATTTTCTTAATCATAATAGAATTATCTAAGAAACTTATTAACAAAGATAATACTTTTAAATTAGAGTTTAGCAACTGTAGATTTTATAAATATGTTATAGATATTTATTTGATTATATATTATTTTTTAGTTATCTTCAAATAAATACTTAAAATGAATGTATATATAAAATTAAATTTGGATTCTTATACGAAATAAAAACATAATTAATTCGAAAAATTTTTAATAAAATAATTTGTAACGTACTTTGATGCTTTTGTTGTATTACTTAACATAGCTAAAAAAAAAGAAAAATATTAAAAAATATAATAAAGAAAATAATAAAAATCAGATCTAATGGGAAGTGATAAAATATGTAATTAATATTAATACTAGGTTGAACAAAAAGTTCTGCAACACTTTTGACGTTCAATCTTTCCGAAAGTGTTGCAGAAATTTTTGGCCAACCTAATAAAATATTGATTATGATTAATTTGTATTAGTTTACAATCAAAAATAATCATCGAATATTTTATTAGATTTTTTTAATCTATAATTATTGGAAAAAAAATAAATATAAGTTAAAATGAATAATGGATAAATTTCAGTTTTATTCATTTAATAGTTAGTTTATTTTTGAATACAGAATATTACATAATCTAGGGAAAGATTTTCCATCGATTATTTTTCTAATCTATGTATTTATTATATTGTAATATTTCTAATCTTAAAAAATAAACTTGATAACTTACAGTAGAATAATTGTTCATTATTAAGAGTAATCATTGTTATAACATTTTGTTGTTGAATTAAATTTCCATAGTCTATTGAAATATTTGAAAATATTTCACATTGATTATTAGATAAATCAAAAGTTAAAAGATAACATTGTAATTCATTTAAACAAGATATTTCACATTGTACTTGATTTTTTCCAAAAATAATAATAGATGGAGAACAACTTGATTCATTACATATATATTTTATACCAGGAAATTTTCTTAGGAATAGTGATCGACTATTTTCACATTGACATTTGATTATCAATAGAAATAATAAGAATAATAATATTGCCTTATTCATTATCAACGTAGACTTCAACTAAAATAAAAAAAAAATTTTCTTCTAAAAAATCTTTTATTTTTTTAATTCTTAAAGTAAAAACAAAAAAGATTAGTAATCATTTATTATATGCAAAACAAGGTAGCAGTTCTCACTCGTTTCTAATAATAATATTTTTTTCAGTAAAAACACAATTTGATAATTTATTTTCAAAATAAGAATATTGAGTAAAACATACTCTAAAAAATAGATTTTATTTGACTTGATTATCTCTTTCATTAATATATAGCCTAGCGGGGCAAATGTATAGACTTTTTTTCATTTTTCGCT